CATCAGAAGCACCCCTTCACATCAGTAACCCACTTCACATCCACCCCCTTTTTTACATCAGGAGTCCCCCTTTGACATCACAGTTCCCCCTCCACATTAGGAGCCCTCTTCATATTAGAGCCCCACTTTCATCTGGAGCCCCTCTTAACATCAGAAGCCCTTAAAAGAGAGTCCTCACCTCCCCATTCACATGAGAGTGCTGAGTCCAAGTGCCTCTGTGCAAAAATTTGGAGGAACCTCTGAGGAAGCCAGCAGGCACCTGGCACCCTGGATGAGAAAGGCTGCTCTAAAGTATGTATCTGACTTCTAATAATGTAATCATGCAACAAGATACTAAACACAGCAGTATATTATAGTATTATATTTTGTGATACATATAAAAAATTTACCTCTGGGACATAATCTTATAGGCATCTGGAAGGTAACAGCGAATATTCTCCATCTGAGCAGGGTCTGAGTCACAAATTTTGTCATCTGTTCTCCCATAATTGGCACTTTCAATCATGATAACATCAGTTCCTGGACACCGAAGTTCTATTGGATAGCTCTCACATGACAGTTCCCTCCTAACAACTGCCATAGGGATTGGAGCACGACTAAAGGCTGCAAGGAAATAAAACATTTTTAATTTTAGTGACATTTCATAATTTCATTTCATAATTTTAAATGGACATATGTATAAATAGCAGGCAAATATATGTAGGCAAGCTTCCTACCTTTTGCCAGCATTTGCCCTGTATATTAAGGGAAGTTATACATTTCCTGAGATGCTGAATGTGTAGTTAACCACTTGAAGCCCAGAGTGTTAAACCCCCTTCCTGTCCAGGCCATTTTTCAGTATTCAGAGCTGCATTACTTTGAATAACATTTATTCAGTCATGCAACGCTGTACTGAAATTAATTTTATACCATTTTTTGGGGATATATAGAGCTTTCTTTTGTGGTATTTAATCACCACTGGGGTTTTTATTCTTTACTATATTATGGAAAAATTACCCAAAATTTTGAAGAAAAAACTGTTCCCCCTACATTAAATTATGAAACATTTATTACTACCCAATTTTTTTGTAAAATATAAAAGACGGGGTCACGTCGGGTAAATAGATACCAAACATGTCTACAATGCCCCAAATTGGCCATAGGCGATGCTTTAAAAGCTTTTATCGCTCATCAGTTTAGTGTTATCAGTGATAGATGGCCCTAAAATTATTGCTCGCACTCTGACATTGGTGGTGAAGTGTAATATGTGCAGAGGAATTGTCGTTTTCGTGCGTTGGCACACCCGACGCGTATTTATGTTTATGTGTGCGTAAATGTGGGGGGGGACATAAAACATTTAAGTTTTTTTTAAACTTATTTATATGTAACTTAAGGAGG